ACAATTGAGGACATTATTAACAAACCTGGGATTGATCAATCAATGTTCTTAAATTGGATGGAATGCAATAAAAAGAACCCTCGTGCAAGACAATTAACTTATGCTCAGTTTCCTACTAAGTTTGTGTGGCACAAAAAAGGAAAACGAGAATGGAGGGAAAGGAAAAAAAGATTTTCTACTATTGGAAGAATTTATTATGTTCCTCCGGGTACTGGAGAAATGTACTATTTGAGTATTTTGTTGAACATAATTAAGGGTCCGACATGTTATGAAGATATCAGAACTATCAATGGTGTAGTGTACTCTTCATTCAAAGAAGCTTGCTATGCCCTTGGATTACTTGATGATGATAAAGAATATATTGAAGGTATAACGGAAGCGAGTGTTTGGGGATCAGCGTCTTATTTAAGGAGTCTTTTTGTGACTTTATATTTGTCAAGCAGTATGTCTAGACCGAATTCGTGTGGGAGCATGTATGGAAATTCCTTGTAGACGATATTCTTCATAGGCAAAAAATCATTTTCCAAATTCCTGGTACGACATCACTTTAATGTTTAATTATAGTTATAGTGACATATATGATTATTATGATAGTTGTCAATTATTATTATAATTATTTTTAGCATTTTCATTTATGTAAACATATAATGTATTTTTATTAGTAGGTTATTACACATAGAACATAATAGCATTATAAAAATATTCAATTAACATTGATTCGTGTAAGCATATATAGTCAACAACTAATTTAATTTTAAAAGTATGATAATATAAAAGATCCTTCACATTATCATTGAAAATAATTAAGTAATCAAGGAAATATACTTATGAGATTACGTTAAGAGCAATCTTAAACTAATCAAAATCATAAAATTAGTAGCAAATATCATCAATTAACTATTTTATGTTATGTAACTTTTTAATTTTGATGATAATATATTAGGAAGCATATATATATATATATATATATATGCACTATTGACTTTAAAAATATATATGATGTCAACATTCATGTGCTTTATATTATTATATTACCTAATTGATAATATGATTTATATGCATATTTTGAGACATGTCATATTAATAATATTATGGAAGATATCTTTTAAAAAAAATAAAAAATAATGATAGATACTATATAATAGTTTCATTACAAAATATTTAGTTAACATTGATTTTAATTAGACAAGTAAATTAAGTCGGAGAAAATTAGTATGATTATAATGTTATAGAATAATACATTATTTTACAGTAGTTAAGGTTGCATTGCTTATTTTTTTAGTAACATAGGGTGAATAAATTAGTGGGTCTTTTGTTTGTTTTTTTGTTTTTTTTTTCCTTATTAAGTAGCTATGCTAAGTTTGTTAGGAATATTCTAACTCTATGGTTTAGGTTATGCATGCACTTAGTGTGAACTGACATAGCATTAAGTAGCCAACATACCATATATATGTCGTATAAGTAGGATATTACTTTCATAGTATTGATTATAATTATATGTTGTCAAACTAAATAATTATAGAAAATTAAACTTTAACCAAATTGAAAATAATAACTCTCTCTTAACTTATAATTTTTATTTGTATGATGATAAGACTTGCAATTGAGTGAAGAACAATTGAAGAACTACACTTTAGCAGAGGTTGAGAAATTGCTTCAATGCAATGGACGAAGTCTGACAAATTTTCCTCCAATGCCGTTGCCGGATCAAATTTTAGTCTCTGATGGGCTTAATAAGCTCATTCAAGAAGAACTTCGTTATGATAGAGCAGAAATGGAGATAGAGCACAAAAGACTACTTTCATGTCTTACAGATGAACAAAAAGGGGTCTATGAAGAAATAATGGGTGCTATTGCAAGAGATAAAGGAGGTGTTTTCTTCCTTTTTGGATATGGTGGCATAGGAAAAACATTTATGTGGAAAACTCTTTCGGCTGCTGTTCGAAGCCAAGGTGAAATTGTACTTAATGTTGCATCAAGCAGAATTGCATCCTTGGTTCTTCCGGGAGGCAGAACTGCTCATTCTAGATTTGCAATTCCTATTAATGTACATGAAAATACAACTTGTGAGATCAAACAAAGAGTCCCTTTAGCTGAACTCTTAATTAAGACAAAGCTCATAATTTGGGATGAAGCACCTATGATTCACAAGTTTTGTTTTGAAGCTTTGGATAGAAGTTTGAGAGATATTCTTAGATTTTTTAATCCATACAGTATGGAGCAACCATTCGGTGGGAAGGTTGTTTTTGGTGGAGATTTTTGACAAATTTTGTCGGTTATTCTAAAAGGAAGTCGACAAGATATTGTTCTTTCGGCTATCAATTCATCATATATATGGGATTATTGTCGAGTCTTATCTTTGACACGTAATATGAGATTGCAAGTTGGAAGTTCAGAGAATTCAAATGAAATTAGGGAGTTTTCAGAATGGATATTGAGAATTGGTGATGGTAGAGAAGGTGAACCTAATGATGGGGAAGCAACCATAGAGATTCCTGATGAAGTTTTGATTAAAGATGAAGCCAGTTACATCTATTGTTAAGAATGTGTATACTTCTATTTTGCATAATTTGGATGACCCAAAATACTTTCAAGAGAGAGCTATTCTTGCTCCAACACATGAGTGTGTAGAGGTGATCAATGAACATTTGTTGAATATGATACCGGGGGAAGAAAAGGTATATTTAAGTTCAGATAGTATTTGCAAAGAAGATATGCAGAATAATCAAGAGTTATATTCAACAAATTTTCTTAACAGTATCAAACGTTCCGGGCTTCCGAATCATTCGTTAAGATTAAAGGTAGGTGTCCCAGTTATGTTACTTAGAAACATAGACCAACCTTCTGGTTTATGTAATGGCACAAGATTAGTGATTACCCAATTAGGTAATCACGTTATTGAGGCTAAAATTTTATCGGGTAACAACATTGGTCACAAAGAATTTATTCCTCGCCTGTTGTTAACTCCATCGGACACAAAGTTACCTTTCAAACTTCAACGAAGACAATATCCATTGGTTGTTTGTTTTTCCATGACAATAAATAAAAGTCAAGGACAATCTCTTTCACATGTGGGTGTATATCTTTGAAGGCCAGTTTTTACTCATGGTCAACTATATGTTGCAATATCAAGGGTTACAAAAAAAAGTGGGCTGAAAATTTTAATATGTGATAAGGAAGGTAAGACATATAATACTACTCAAAATGTAGTATATAAAGAAGTGTTTCAAAATGTGACATGAGGTAATTTTTTTAAAATTTATTAACATTATTTGGTAAAATTGCTTGAAAGTTCTTTTCATTCACTTAAATATGAATATTAAAATACATGATACAGAATGGAAGAATTGTACAAGTAGCAAAAGGAGCAATGCTATAGCCTATGGGTGCCAATACTTCTACAGGTATTACTTTCATTTCATTAATTATACTTCCAATAACATCACATGTATTTATTTGCCTTTATATTTTCTGTTTTGGTTTTGTTTTGCAGACACGTAAAGGAGGCCTACTGGATTGAATGATAGATAGAATAATGGCAGAGAAAGTGATGAGTATATTGAATAAATGAATGATGAATAATGTAGGGTTATTGGCTTACTATGTTGATTAGATGCTATTGTTTAATTTTTTCTATGTCAAGTGCTATTATACCCTCTTTAGGATTGGTTAAGTTTGATTTTATAGTATTAGTTAGTTTCTTTGCTTAAATTGGTAATTGAATTGGTTAAGTTTAAATTCATATATTAGATAGTTTATATTCATATACTATAGTTAGTCAGTATCAGTTTGATTGATTTGCTAATTGAATAGGTTAAGCCTTATGTTTTTCATAGTTTTGATTAGTTTTAATATGCTTAAATTACTAATTGAATCAGATAAGTTAAGATTAGTTTGCTGGTTGAATTCGTGAAATTTAAATTCACATATGTAGTACAATGTTTATTTTGGGTTTGATTATTTTGCTAATTGAATTTGTTAAGGCCTATATTTTTCATGGTAATGATTTGTTTTCAATTGCTTAAATTACTAACTGAATTGGTATGTTTAGATTCTTGAAGTACTAATGCTTAACTTGTGATTGGGTTTGTTAATTTTAATTAATATATTTTGTCCTTATAAATAAAATATATGTATCCACCACGACCTTATATATGGATCTAAAAGTTTAACTATAGAAATGTTGGATGGTATTTTTTTTTTAAAAAAAATCAATATTAAAGAACAATCTTGAGACAATATCTTTAAACTCATTAGTTTATATATGTATTAATGTATATAATTATAAAAAATGGCCAAACATTTACTAAATTAACTTCCAATTCTCCGTAAAAAAAAATATATTAACAATACTATAAAAAGATTGTCTTATATTATGACCATTATTAATCATAATAATAATAATAATTTAATTTTATCCGTGCATGGCACGAGTCTTAAACTAGTTAAACATAAAGGGGGGAAAAAAGGTGATTCTAAAACTCCTAAATACAGTCTTAATTAACATATATTTCTGAATAAGAAGTTGAACCACTGAGTCCACCAAAAATCCTCTTCATCAAGAAAAAGGGTAACACGCATGCAAGGCATCAAGGGAATTGACTTTGGTAACACTTTCCCTACCTTAAGCTTTCTACTGATGTGATAAGCAGAAGCAAGAGGTAGATTGTGCATATAAACCATTATGTAGGTCAAATTTAGCCAAGCCCATTTAACAACTCAGGAAATGAGCAATAAACAGAAAAGGCCTGAAATGAACTGATCAGAACTGAAATTTCAGAACTAATCGGAACTGATCGAAACTGAAATTTCAGAACTGATCGAAACTGAAATTTCAGAACTAATCAGAACTGAAATTTCAGAATTGATCAGAAATGATCGGAACAAAAATTTCAGAATAGATCAGAACTGATCGGAACTGATCAAAACTGATCGGAACTGATGAGAACTGATCAGAAAAGGCCTCAAATTTAGCGAAGCCCATTAAACAACGCAGGAAATGAGCAATAAACTGAAAATGCCTCCCATTAAAAAATGTAGGAAATGAGCAATAAATACAAAAAGCCAGATCATAACTGATCAGCTCAAAAGTAATGCAAATAAAATATGCTTGGTTGCTTAGAACAACACTTACATAGCATTGGCTATTTGTTGGGTTTCGACATTCTTCGGGTCTATAGCCCACGAACCACCTGCACGACGAGTTTGACGGGCCAAAATCCAAAAAAGAAACCGATTTTTAAGCTTTTTCAGAGATTCTTTCAGAGATTCTTCTATTCCAAAAGAATCCACTTTAACACCTTTTTGCTCCACACCCACAAGATAAGCTTTTTTAGCAAGAACATGACATTACGATATTAAGTATAATTAGTATAGCTCGAATTCAAATTGCAAAATACCGGGAAGTTGGTGGTGGCAGTGGGGCCCAGTACTTAAGAGCTGCCAAGTCGTATAACCTAGCTGCCTTTTCTTCTTTATCATACCCACTTGCACAAATTTTCTATAAGTTTTCTTATCTTGTTAACATGCTCTGCCAATTTTCACAACTTCATCCAATAATCTAGAATGAAGTAGTCAATGATAACACACTAATATATTAACTCACCTAAATAGACTGCTACATATGGAAAGCCAATCATCAAAAGTTCTGCGAACCATGTCAAATAAGGGAAACAGAATGTTAACATAGTTATTAGCCATTTTCTGTGAGATCATGCTTACCAGTGTAGTTGATACAGCTCCACAGACGAGAGTTCTAGGCGACTAAGAGAATCCTTTTAAGGCTTTGACAACACTTTAGCATCCTAATCTCCATGGTAATGCAGCAAACTTAGTTGCTACTGCTACATCCATCTTTGGATCCTTCTCTTTCCGCTCCTTAATAAATCTATCAAAGAACTTATTTTCATGAAATAACAAGATAACAGATCAGAATAAACAGCTCTACATTTCAGACTTCAGAGTTTAGATGAGCTAAATGCAAACAGAGCAAAATCATCAACTTATATCAACTGCAATGACATTAAAGCTATACATATTACATATCCACTATTATCAAATCATCTATGGGACAATGAAGAGTTCTTTATACTAAAACAACCAAATATACTCAAAAAAAAGTTGAAGCATATAATTATGCTAAAAGCAACACCATGCATGTTAACCAAATAATGTTGTAAGGTATATGAACCACTTATAAGTCTCAAAACAAGATATGTTAATTGACAATTAGAACGCACTGTCAAAAAGTCACAAACAAAATCTTGAGACCAGAATGCACATGTAATAATAATGCCTTAATCATGTTAAAGTTTACATCAAAGCCATTGTAATATTGTGGTTTTCGAGGATTAGATGTGTCACTCGGAATCCAGCCCGATTTTTAAGCAATAACCCATTCCACTACTCAAACCCTTAATTTCACAAGCTGCAAAACAACAACTCAAATCTACTCAATTTCAATTTTCCACAAAATCCAACATAACACTTTTGACATTTTAATCTGCAATATTTAACCAAAAAAAAAAAGGAATATATGATATTAACTATAACGCCCTATATCCGTCACACTGCTTCTTGTTTAATCAAACCAACCAGTTGAACACCAAATTAATCAATTCAACATTGAAACAATCAATAAAACAACAAACAAATCAAATGAACATCAAATTACGAATTTAAAAAACAAGGATTCGATGAATTTTAGGCTAACATGTTGAATTTATACAGGCAAAGGAAGAGTATAACACTAATTAAACGAATTCAAATACTGAATTCAATTTCTTAACTGCAATTAAAAAAGATAAATTGCATTGAACTGAAACAAATTGGATTGAAAATTTAAATTAAGAAGGTGAGGAGAGAAAATACCTGGGTTCACAACTTTAAGTTACGTATGCTTCAACTGGAGAATTGTCATTGCTGTTGTAGGGTTTCAGAGAAAAACAAGTATGTATTCGTATCCAAGTTCCATTCACTTGATTTGGTAACGCATCGACAACCCTAATAAGGGGAACAAGAAGAAGTAAATTGGGTTTATAAGTAAATAGAGAGAGAGAGAAAACGGAGCTTGAGCTAATAACCGAGATGCTTCAATGGAGTTGCGGGAGTGAGGACGGAGGACGACGGTCGAGCTGCTTCAACATTGGAAAGAGAAAGGGGAAATAATATTTTGAGAGAGAGAGTGAGAAAGGGAAAATTAAAAGTTAGGGTTTACTTTGAAACCTATTCGTAACGGGAAAGACTTGTTGGTTACGACTAGTTGGTTATTCGTAACGGGCAAGATTTGTTTGTTACGATTAGTTGGTTATTCGTACCGGGCAAGACTTGTTGGTTACGACTAGTTGGTTATTCGTAACGGGAAAGACTTGTTTGTTACGACTAGTTGGTTATTCGTAACGGACATTGAATTTTCCCGTTACAATTGATGTAATTGTAATGGGAAATCATATGCCTGTTACGAATAGTTTATTACGAATAAGATTTTTTTCACTGGAGGGTGACTCTTAAAGCACACTTAGATGGATTTAACCTCATGTTGTATTTCCTCAGCCTTTCGAAAAACTTTCTTACGGCTACTAGATGTCCAGGACGATCTTTTGATTTTAGAATCATGTCATTCACATAAACTTCAACTTCTTTGTGCATCATGTCATGTAGTAAGGCAGTCGCTGCTCTTTGGTAAGTGGCACCCACGTTTTTAACTCGAATGGCATTACCGTTTAATAGTAAGTGCCCCACGGTGTTATGAATGTAGTATTTTCCATGTCTTCCTCTTCCATGAGAATCTGATTGTTTCCTGCGTATCCATCTATAATGAGATAAGTGTGCTATTTGTTGTATTATCTACTAAAATGTCGATGTGTGGTACAGGGAAGTTGTCCTTTGGACTTGCCTTATTTAGATCTCTATAGTTGACACACATTCTTATCCTTCCATCTTTCTTTGGAACTTACACCATATTTGTAACCCACTTGGGGTATTTAGATACCCTGATAAAACCTATAGTTATTTGTTTTTGAACTTCTACTTTTATTTTATGAGCTACATCGGGTTTCATTCGACGTAACTTTTGTTTTACATGTTTCAATCCTGGAATTAGTTGTATTGTTTGTTGAGCTATTTCTCTGTTTATTCCTGGCATATCTTCGTATGATCAAGCAAATACATCAGTGAATTCTTTTAGTATATTAATTAAACCGGTTGTTTCTTCTTTTGAGGTATCCACTGATTCTGTGTCTTCAATTACTAGTATTTTATTCTCAAGTGTTTCCATTTCTTTAATTATTTCTTTGTCACTTTCATTGTTAGTTAAGCAATGTTCGTCATCTTGGCTTAGAGAATGACACGCACGATGAGTAAGCAAAAGAAGACATATTATTGAATTCAGAAACCATTACATCAAATAGGGAAATGTCTGTCGGGACTTGACTACTAACTATTCTAGGAGTAGGTGCTAAAGTAGAAGAGCTAGGGAGAGGTACTATAGATAATGACTTTGAAGAGTCAATAGGGGAAGACTCTGATTCAAACTCTGACTTAGACGACTCTTCGAACATGGGTCCCTGTCCTGTTGTTATGGAGATCTTCCTTCCACTTGGTGTAGTCACCTTCACAGTCTTTCACCATCCTTGGACTAATGCCTCTGTTGCAGTGATAAGCTTTGAGGGGTCAAAGCTTTCACTTTGCAGTGTTGTTTGAATAAGCGCAGAGTTCTCTTCAACATATTTTGGCTCATTCTTCTCGTGCCCGAAAAGGAGTCTCATGACATTAAAGTCAAAGCATGGAGGTGCTTTCTCCTTATGGATAGGAGTTGGGATGTCTTCTAAGATGTTGCAATCCAGGAAGATTTCGAACCCAGGTTGTCTTATACCATATTTCTTTTTTAGGTACGAGAGTAAGAGGATATTAATCCATGTGGATTTCTTTTTTAGGTACGAGCGTTTCTCCGCGCATTAGCCTTTTCCCGGGCTTGCTTATAGTCTTTCGGAGTCGATTCAAAACCAAGTCCAAAAGCATCTAATTTAGGAAGGCCAAGCGATCTTGTTTGTATTGCGACTCCTTTCTTCTTTCCTAGATTCATTCCAGGAAAGTGCCCCTTTCTCAAAGTATACCATTAACTATCATATTTGAATGGAGGTCGTAGCAAAGAGGGGCCCTTTCGTCTTCCTTGATTAAGGAGACCTCTTATCCGTTAAAGCCCCATAGGTCTTCATCGTTGTAATCATGCTCCCCATTCATGATAGGCTTATCAATTTCCTTGATCCTCATTGGGGGAAACATCAATTGTAATAGGAACTCCTCTAACTACGGCCTTCACTTGTTGATGAAGGGATGAAGGGACGACCTTAAGGTCATGAAGCCAAGGGCATCCCAACATTAAGGTAAAAGAAGCTTTAATATATACCACTTGGAAAGTAGTAGCATGCTCTATAACCTCTTCGGTGACATTCATGGTAATAGTCCCAAGAGCTTGGCAACGAGTGTTGTCATAGGCTCTTATTCCTTGAGTAGATGCAAACAAGTCTTTATCCCTTATTTCTAACATCCTCGAAGTTTGTATTGGGCAAACGTTGATTGCAGACCCTTTATTAACAAGAGTCATTGGACATTCATTCTCTTGTAGATTATTGTGAGGTTTAAGTCCTTAATGTGTTTATCACCTTTCGAAGGTAGAACATTGACAGAAAAAAGTGATTGTGTTGATGGGACTCGGAAGATCACTCATGTGAAAATTAGCTAATCCCTTAGAAGTGGTTTCAGAATCTATCCCTACTTTAGCCAAAACATCCATTACTAAAATTCTATGTTCACGGGATGTGGCTAGTAGTTTCCATACGTTCATTTCGACCTTAGTCTTTTTAAGTTGTTTGACGACATCATTGTCTTCTATAATTGGTTTGGGAACTTGTATGTTAGTAGGAATAAGTTGTGAAGTGATGGGAGGTTGCATTCTCCCTGATCTTCTGAGAACATCTGACGTGGGTCGAGACTAGGTCGTTGAAACTAATCCCTACCCTAAGTCAAATAAAATTTGTAATCTCTCAACACACCCTTATACGAGTATAATGGTAAGTCGAGGGTCGAACCACTAAGGAATGGAGAACGATCTTATATTGTCAAGTCAAGCTATTTCGGAAAGGTTAGGTAAGGGTGTGAATGCTAAACAACTAGACAAGCTAGGTTTGGACAAATGTAATAAACACTAGGGATCGGGATCCACATATACTTGTCACGGATTCCGCTAATTGCGCAAGAACTTACTAAGTCGAGTGATGCGAGGGAAAACCAATCATGCAACCAAAAGAGCATTTCAAGCTATATTCCTAGAGGTTTAACTAGCGTCAACTTACGATAAACTCTAGCTAGGAACGTCACAAGACACCTCAATCGTTAAATGTAAGCCACAAATCAATGGTCCGTATCAATGTGAACCTACTATGCAATCTAGTGTGAATAATTAGGGTGATCAAGCCTAAATCAAACACATACATGCACATAATCAACTAACCAATTAAATCACATCATCAACTCCATCAATTTCCCCAAATTAACATCAATCCATTACTCATATATGCTTCACCATTACCCTAGCAATCAAACTACTCACAATCCATAGAAATCAAGATCAAAACAAAGCTAAACAACAAATTCATCATGATCAAATTAAACAAACTAAAATCAAATCACAAATCAATCAAACTTCAATCAAACTTGAACATTCAACAAAACAATTGAAATCAAACTAAAGATCAAACTAAAGATTGGATAAAAGAAAAGGAATCCTTACAAACTTGATCAAAGATCAAAGGAAATGGAGAAATCTTCAATCAATAACCATCCACCATGAAATTCTCTCTCTAAAAATCTAGAGTTTCTCTCTCTAAAAATCTCTCTAATTTTTTTTATCTAAAACTAACTCTAATTCTATTCTAATTCTCCTCTCAATCCCCCCCTCTAAAAATAGAAGGAAAAACTATATATAGGAAAGATACAAAAGAAGAGTTAGTTAGATCGTCCCAAAAGAAACCCCGGAAGGCGAGGTCGCATCAAAGGAGAGGCGCGGCTGCGGGAAAAAGGGTACGAAACAGGGGCCCTAGCAGGCGCGCGCCCGCGCCACCCAGGTGTGCGGCCCACCACCCTCGTACGCGCCTGCACCTTACAGCAGGGGAGGCCCCCCTTTTCTTCGTCCTAGCTCATCCTCGTGCGCTCGTCTTTGTGATGATGATGAACATTAAGGTAGGCAGTCTTGAAAGGGCCATTTTGGTGGGTTCATGCCGAAGATGATGCCCCCACCGCATGCATGCACCGATCTCATGAGCTTGCTCCTTGCATTCCTTCAAACTTGAGCTCCAAATGACAAGCAAGAGGCGTCCGATATGATGAGAACTATGAGAGGAAAGGCTCGGGAATCCTCGAAACACGATCATAACCTAGAGATACACAAAAACAAGCAAATAAAAGGGAAAAAGACCAAATAAACAAAGAAATGCTAAAAGAAAGAAAACTAACTAAGGAAAGCACAAACTAAAGAAATAAAGAACAAAACTAAGGGAAACTAAAGAAAAGAGCTATAAAATAGCATGGAATTCATCCTAAAAGAAGCCAAATGAGTGCCATAAATGACACTCACCAAATTCCCCCAAGCTAAACTTTTACTCGTCCTAGAGCAAAACAAATCAAGAAAGAATAAGGATGAAAGACTTATTCAAAAAGAAAAAGAAAGACTAAAGATGAGAATATACACTAAGACTCACTATCGTAGGAATCACGGTTGTTTTTAACAAGCCCTTTAAACCCCAAAGTCGCCTATGAGGACGAGTGAGGTCTCGTAAAGGTTTTCTAAGAGCTTACCTATAACTCTCATAAAGAGAACACGAGGCAAAACAAAAAGGCAAAATCAAAAGAAAAGAAAAGAGAAAGATAGAAAACTCTACGAGTTGGACTTTTTCATCATGACTACAATTCAAATGAATGAAGAACTTTCTCAAATAAACAGAGGTGTGCACATTTCAAGATATCCAAGGTTGATAAAAGAATAAATCATGCTAAGCATAGAGAACTAAGTATCACACTCCACTTTCATCCCGTTCAATCTTACCGCGTTCTCCCTACTAGCTTCAAATCAACCTGTAGTGAGCATCACAATGATTCCTCGAAGCAACCGGAAAACGAAAAATTTAGGCTACTCGACATCTTGAATTTGCATCCCCTCTCCTTAGGCTAAAACTCACATTCCTCTCCTCCGAAGAATGACTCAACCACTTAGGTCAAAAGGGCTTTCCCAAAGGTTGTAATGCAAGGGCGAGAAAGGGTTTAGGTAGGCTAGAAATTTGAAATTGGTGATTTTCCTAAT